TTTCTCGAGGAGTAACACTAAGTCAAAAATGTTTTAACAGTGCTTGTTGATATCTTTCACTTTTGGAAAAGAAAAATCTTTTAAATTCATATTACCTCTGAATCTGAAAGAATATTAATAAGGCTTTCTGTAATTTATTCCTACTTTTATTATTAAAATTTTACTTTTTTTAATAATATGATAAAAAAATTCTAGAATGTAAATCTTGAATACAGGGCCGTAACTGAGAGGGAGGAGAGCCAGGGTGCACGCCCACCTGTCTTCCTTATACATGTATATATATGATATGGTGGAATCTTCTTATACATGTATATATATGATATGGTGGAATCTTCTTATACATGTATATATATGGTATGGTGGAATCTTCTTATACATGTATATATATGATATGGTGGAAGATTGAAATTGAGCAATGAAAAAGATTGAAATTAAGCAATGAAAAAGATTAAAATTAAGCAATGAAAAAGATTGAAATTATGCAATGAAAAAGATTAAAATTAAGCAATAAAATAAAAGGTTTAAATTAAGCAATGAAAAAGATTGAAATTAAGCAATGAAAATGATTGAAATTGAGCAATAAAAAAGATTGAAATTAAGCAATGAAAAAGATTGAATTTGAGCAATGAAAAAGATTGAAATTATGCAATAAAAAAGATTGACATTAAGCAATGAAAAAGATTGTAACGTTTCACAACCTAAAGGTAAAAAGTTAGTTTTTTCAAACAGAAAAATTAAAAATGTTCAAATAAGAATTTTTCAGTTTTTTTTTCTTCAAAAATGTAGAAAGTGAACACATTTAATTACAGAGAAGAAAAATATACAAAGTGTATAATTATTTACCGAGGAACAGAGTTTACAGAGAGCATATATATTTACAGAGGAATAGAGTTTACAGAGAGCATATATATTTACAGAGGAATAGAGTGTATAGAGAGACTATTTACAGAGGAACACAGTATACAGAAAGTATATATATTTACAGAGAAACAGAACATACAGAAAGTATATATGTTTAGTGAGGAACAGAGTATACACTGAGATATATTTACAATAAAAAAACATAGTAAATACAGCGTTGCCCCCGGATTTTTTTTTTATTTAGTAAAAAAAATTTTTTGAGTGTCCACACAAAATGCCAGCCTATTCGGTCAGCCACTTGGCCAGCTTTAGGCAACCTATATCTATGAATCTTTAGAAAAAAAAGAAAAAAATTTCGAACCCTATTAGCGTAAAACACTGCGGCCACCCATTTATGTTGAAAACATTTAACAAAAGTTGTCCGCAAAGAATCTAAGCCAAATCGGTCCAGTTGTTTGGCCGACAACATATATATATGAATGTCTTGTTTTAATATATAGATAATTATAATATTAACAATGTTTTATGTAATAATAATAAGGATGATGATAATGATAATAATGTCAATTTATAAAACAATAAAATATTTACTTTTACTTCTTTGTTTACGGTCACTGATTTGCGCAAAGCTCTGTAGTTAATGTACAATATTTGCATAATTATGCATTTAAATAAAATTCAAAAACAACCGTATATCATTACATTGACAACCCTATAGTTAGTGGGGTATAAAGTTTTTGTATTTATTTTTACTCATTTCTACCTGAAAAATATCAAACTTCAATTTATAATATAATACATATGCAAAGTCTACGACAAATTAATAATTATAAACCAAGTTATTCTAAAAAGCAAAACTTAAGGCTTTTTAACAAGTGAAAGGTATAAGAAACAAGAGAAATAGCTTCATCTTGCGGTGATAAACTGAACTTACAAACTACAGTATAGGTAAGAGAAAAGTGAACGATGGTCTAAATTGTAAAACCTTTATAAAGTAAGTGGTGCGCCTGCGTATGCGCATGTGATCCCAGATTCTGCCTTGGCTCTTGAAGCAACACTGGCAGTTGGCCTGGATTTAAAATATACGCATTTTATAATATTTTATAATTTTATAATTATAATATAATTTCTACGCAAATTTTTGAATAATTTATCATTTTATTTCTTACGCGCATTTTTTATCATTTTACATTACAATTATTTACAATTATTTACATTTCATTTCTTAACACACATTTTTATATATTATACATTACATTTCTTTACATTTAGACATGCATTTCTTGCTTCAGAAACGATGGAGAAATTAAGGTTTCAAATGTACATCGGACATGCCACTCTATAAATGGAGGGGCACTTGAAATTACGCATGTTTTTCATTTAAGTATAATTGCGTCGTATAATAAAAAATACCATGATATCCACAAAACTGCCGAACCCTTTTCATGAAACCCGGGTTTCAGTTCTGATTTTCATATCATACCGAAACCTAAATTGAAAACCTGGTTTCACAAATGGGGTCAGACAGTTTAGTAGATACCAATATTTTTGTAAGAAAATGCCATTTATAAGGGGAACCCCCCCCCCCTTCCTCAATTTACATTTAGACAAAATAGCCCTATCGGAATAGGGTTATAAATTATTCATAAATGATTTACAAAGCATATGCTTTCCTTTGCCCTTGGTTACTACAGAACCTAAAAATACAATTTTAGTGTTAACTGTTTACTTACACTGATACATTACTTTCGCTCCATTGAACATATCTGTTTATATACTTTGCTTGTCTGTTTGTGTCCAATAAACGTCATGACGGCTAAACCGATCGGCGATCAGGCCCAAATTTTGTCAGGGACCTCATGTGACCCCGGCCAGGGAATGTTAATGGATGATCAAAATTTCATAAAATTTTAAAAATCTGCGAACATTTTGATGGTTTTTGTTTAACAATGTACACAAAGAGAAAATGTTCACAATTGAAAAGAAGATGGGCTTGAAGGGCCCTGAAAGCCTAGTTAGGAAAAAAGTTACAATTACCAAAAATTTTACAGCATTTTCATTCAATATTTTTGAAATTTCTGTTTTATTTCTTTATTTTTTTTGTTATTTGTAAGCTTTATGAGAGCATAAAATTCTTGACTTTTCCTAAATATAGTTTATACAGGCCTACTTCCTAAAATAGACCTGTTTTTCTTTCTAGTTTTATACATTGCTTTGAATACCACTAAAAACTGTTAAATGATGATCCACAGCTGAAATTAGAGATAAGAGAATTATAGAGATCGATAATCAGCTAAAATATGAGATATTTTCCACAGCATGTTCTATTGTGTATGTAACAAATCTAGACGCGATTACTATACTCAAAGTCTAATAAAGAACACACTTATCTCTATCTCTAGCCAAAACTCAAGGCTCTCTATTCTCAGCCCAAACTCTAGGCTCTATATACGTCTGTATAAATCAGAGAATACTATTGAACTAACTTTATTTATATACAGGTGAATAAACTGACCGGGCTATCCCGGCAAGGTCAACGTACAGATAATTAAGATATTTACAGATAACATAGATAGCATTATACTTGATACAGAATATAGGGGGGGCCTGGCCCCCCTGCCCCCCCTAGTTGCGCGCCTGATTACAACTAACAGTTCATTTATTCGTTCAACAAAAGAAAGTCAGAAGTTTCTGTAAAGCTAATGAGAAACTAATATCACCAATATTTGTTTCAGCTAGTTTTTTTCTGAGGTTTTCCATTCACATAACTCATAAAGAAATTAAGCAACCTTTTGAAAACTTTAAATAACACTTTGCATCAATATTTCATCATTATAAAATAGGCCGGTTAGATGCTTTCCAAAACTAAACAAAATGGCATGTGAAAAGAAAAAAATTTACTTTTCCCGCTTTCTCTTTTTCTTCTTGTCTCTTCAATTGACATTCCTGGTATGACTTTGTGACTTCCTTGCTCCAGAAGGGCCAATTTATTCGGTTACATTAATGCAATACAGCACATTTTTGTTCTTTACAATTGTTGCAATATTGTAATATTGCATATTGCAATACAACACATTTTCTTCATTTTTCTTCATTTATGATAAAACATAAAATTAAGATAGATATTAGGCACATTCCCAAAGAATTTTTCTTGAAGTGTCAACTTCCCAAGGGTATTTTCCCAAGAGGTAACTTCCCAAATGTGCAATTCCCCAACCGGCAACTTCCAAAGTCTGTCCTAGCCACACTTCTTGGCCCCCAGCCTGTTTTAGCTGCGGTGCTCGGCCCTAGCCCATCCTGACTGCAGCGCTGGTTCCCATTGCAGCCCGCAGCGCCTCAGAGGGCCTAACCTCATGCACCTCTGCTTCTTTAGTAAAAGTAAATTCAATCTATATGAAGCATAAAGTCTGATCGCATCAACCTTGTTGTACCAGCTAGTCCTGTCCATAGAGCGAGGTACAGTACAAACTGGGACCGGAAAGGTAGACCAGGCTCGGAAATTTAAATGAACTACGGCTGACAGTGACCTAACCTTTGGGAAGTTGCAGGCTGCAGCTTGGGAAATTGCACATTTGGGAAGTTACCTCTTGGGAAATTGTCACTTGGGAAGTCGCCCTTAGGAAAAAGCCTTTGGGAAAGTACCTAACACTTAAAAAAACATTTAAAATTTGAATCTTACGTACAGTTTACTTTTGTTTAATGTGATATCAATGTACTGTGTTTGTGCTTTATATATAACTGGCCATTTAATCTCAAAGTTGTATTATAAATATATGTAAAGTATGACGGCTGAGATTTGATATAGGATGATTACGAACTCAGTATAGGTTGGGTTGCTCTAGAGTAAAGATGTGGCTGCAATCTGTTAAACTAGTTTTAGTTTAGTGCTAAGAGAGATATACATATAAATTAAAACATTGCTAAAAGTTATTTACAATACATATATACATACATACTTTTTTTTAACTTGTAAATTGGAAATAATAATTATGGCATAAACTTTAAAAAACAAATTAATAAACTTTTTAATTCTACAATTAATTATCCTGCACTGAATCTTATTTTTGTAAATTAATTTATCATCAGAAATATTTCTAATACTTGCAAATCATTTAAAATGTCTAAATGTTTACAGATTTTGAATTTCTATGGCTGAGCAGCCTAGAGAAGAAAGAAAAAATGTACCAGAAGAAGAAACATCATCAAGTGAAAACATTACATGTATGAGTAGAGCTTTTAATAGTATGGACGAAGCAAGTACTAGTATGGGTGGAGATGGTACTAGTATGGGTGGAGATGGTACTAGTATGGGTGGAGATGGTACTAGTATGGGTGGAGATGGTACTAGTATGGGTGGAGATGGTACGGGTGTGCGTAGAGAAGGAACTAATATTGGTGGAGAAGATACTAGTTTGAGGGGAGAAGAAACTAGTATGGATGGAGAAGGCACCAGTATCTGTACTGTATGTGAAGAGGCCATTGATAAACCTAGAGTTCATTACGGTGGAGTCTGCTGCTACAGCTGTAGAGCATTTTTCAGGTTATTTTATTAATCATAATTCATCTTTTATCTTAGATTTATCTCTTTTGTGTGTTTGCTTTAAAACAAACATCTTTTACATTCATCAATTATTAATCAATTATTAATTATTATTGGTAAATTTGAGATTTCATTCAATGCTCAATGAGACAGCAAATCATGATTATTGAAAATTCATAATGTTCATCTTAAAAAATCTAAATTTTCAGATTTCACATTCTAAAATTTTACCACTTGACTCACAATTGTTAAATTAAACCTCACTATTTTATAGACGAGCTACAAAGCGTGGAATAGATACTTACTGTATGCTTGGAGGCAACTGTAATGTTAAACTTGAAGAGAGAAAACAGTGTAATGCTTGCAGGTTATTATTTATGCAATTAGATTGTATCTACAACTTTCAATAATTATGGGGACTGTAAAAAATTTGAAATAGCCCATATCTTTTTTTGTGACAAAAGCTAAAGATCTAAAAACTTTATTTTTGAAAAGGCCTTGAAAAATGGATGTAGAAGAATGTGCAACACTTTGATATTTGTTTAAAACAAAACTATTAAAGTTATCGAGATAGTTTTTTTTAATGAGCCGGCCTTGAAAAATTAGGCTATAAACATGCATTTCAACTCTGTTACCTATTCTATGGCCCTTTTCTGGGGGGGGGGGGGGGCATGGGACTGCCCCCAGGCTATAAACAGATTCAGAACTCCCAGCCTTTATAGGTTTAAATGTTGTGTGACAAGCTGTAAATTAGGAGTGAACTCCTAATGTATATATTCTGATTATTACACTCCTCAGAATATATATATTCTGAAGAGTGTAAGCTAGTGTGCTGTTTAAACTTAATGCGGATGACGCTACAGTCATTCATGACAATCACGTATTTTTTCAATATTTTTAATAATTTAAATTCCTAAAAATCATTTTCTTTAATTATAGCTTTGAATCAAATACAAGCTTTTCTTTAGATAAATGGGGAAAAGCCAATTATCCTTTTTCAGTCAAAAGTTTCAAGGTTCCATTGTAAATTTGGGAGGCCTCTCTTTAAATTTACAGAAGGTCACTTGAAATGACGCTTGGGGATGTTAACATTTTCATTTTTTAGATAAAAGATCGTTTCATTATGAAAATGACGACAAAAAATCGAAAACGAAACGATCGTTTTTAAAAACAATCATATTTTTAAATTTTGTGTTTTAAAAATGGTTGTTTTGAAAACAATCGTTTTTATAAAACTTTTTGTTTCGTTTTTGAAAAAAAAAATTACATGCAAGGGTCTTCATTAATGATCGTTAGCGAAGAGAGGAAACTGACCTGAAGTTCATATGTACTTATGATTGAGTGGTTTTTAAGAAAATACCTGGAAGTTTTAGTTCCCTAGCTCACAACTGTTTAACTTTATGTAAGACAACATCCAATAAAGTTGCATGTAATTTCTTTCTTCAAAAACAATCGTTTTTCCAAACACTACCCTTTTTTATAAAGTTTGTTGTTTTGTTAATGATCCTTAATGACAACCCTTTGTTAACGATCGATATCTATGACCCTTCGTTAACCATCGTTAACATAATAGTCAATAATTTTTTTTTTTCAAAAGCTATCGTTTTTTAAAACAATGCATGGTATAAAAATGGTCGCAAATCGTTTTTAAAAAACGATCAACAAACCTAATTTCGCTTACAGTCCCTTTAAATGTTTTCCAAATCGCTGATCAAATATTTTTACTAGATCAGATATATAATCAATATAATTTATCCTTTAATCCCTTGTTATATTAAACTAAAAGATTTGTTTGAACCAGTATCACTGTGGATTCTCTACAAAAATGGTGACTTTCTCCTAAAAGCATATGAAAATTATCCTAATTTAAACAAGTAAATCTAGAAAACAATATCTTCCACATTATTCATTCATTATAAAGTTATGCTTACAGCCCTTGTTTAGGTATAGAAAATGCCAAAATGTTGGTATGAAGACTGGTCTTATCTTAAGTGATGAGCAAAAAAAGGTATTACCATATATTTTAGAGTTATTTTTTTTGGTGTTTGGTAAATAATTTCCCAAATGGTACTTTCCCAACACCAACTAACCCAGGCAAGTAATTTAGCCAATATTGGTTACCCAATTCCCCTGCAGTAACATTCTTTAATAAATTGAACAGCAGTTATGTATTAAAACACATTAAAATAATCTTTAATTTAATCAACCATTTTTTATTAAATACACAAACATTTCATTTAAGAAGAATTTTTTATTTTCAATTTTCCAACTTAAGATATGTGAATTCATTAGAATAATAGTAAAACAAAAAATAATTCTATTTTACTGCATGGAGAAAGTGTTAATAGAAGTTGTGACTGGGTAAATTAGGGGTTGGGGAAATCACTGGTTGGAAAATTGCCATTGGGAAGTTGCAATTGGAAATTAGCACATACAAGTTTTTAATTTTCTTAAAGGGAGTGTTTATGAAAATTGAAAGGGGGTATAAGCTAACTTAGAAAAATATTCTATCGTGAGGCACTATTAATCTTACTTCTTTCTGTTGCATCTATAAGAAGAAAACTGTTAAAAACAACTCATACAGAAGAATATAGCATCCATACAAATTTAGGTAGTTGTGATTTTAGACTCAGATCGTAAAAAAATCAATTTAAATCCAAACAAATAATGCAGATATTAAATTCTATACAGACTCATCGATTTTTTTTCAATGCACTCATATTGATATTTAATAATACTTTTTATTTATTTTATATATCCTGTAATTTTAACGATTATTAGATGGCCGCCAGGTGTCTCTGCTCTTGATGTTTCTGTGATCTCACATGAGGGAGAGACACCTAGTAGACAAAAAATCGTCATTTTAAGTGCATTATATACAAAAAAAATAAATATATTATGAAATATATTATGATCTGAGTCGAAAATTGCAACTTTCTGAATTGTTATGGATGCTACATTCTTTGGTATGAGTCGTTTTAAACAATTTTCTCCTTTTAGATGCAACAAATAGAAGAAACATTAGCAGCAATCACCATCGAACATTTTTCGACATAAGCCTATACCCCCTTTTTATTTTTCGCAACATTCCCTTTAACAATACCACCCAGGACTTACCAGAGTTAGAAGCATTCGGTTTCTTCTATTTGAAATCTTACGAGCTTTGGTCTGTAATCAACAATCTTTAAACTTACGGTTTTCTTTGTTTTAGACTTTTCATTCAAAATGTATTTGTCGGCAAAAAAGTATTTAATGAAAAAGGCTAAAAAATTATGTTTAATAGCAAAATTGTGATCGAAAGTCACATCTTTCTGGAATTTTGACAGAACCATTAAATCCACGTGATACATAAATTTCTCTATATATACTTCTTATCTATTGTAGGTCCGGTTCAAGATAAAACTTAAAAGAATAGGTTCTGATACTTGTGTAGTTCCCATGTTACATCATCACAGGCAAAATACTAAATATTGTTCATATGGATTGCATTATAAAATTACTGAGACAATAATTATTAATAATATGACAATCTTCAAACATTGTAAAACATCTTTTAGTAGTATTTTAATGTTATGGAAAAGGATTAACATATATGATTTTACTTGGTTAAACACATCATTGAGCATGACTTATTGCCGAAACTTAGTAATATTATTTTCTCATTAGAAATCTTACTTATTAATAATCATTTTATTTATTTATTGTTTTCTAGATCCCATATTCCATCCAAGGTGAAATCAAATCTAAACTTGAAATCTGGCATGGCTGCCTTTTTTACTGATCTGGCTACTTATCGGTCTAACAACCCATCATCAAGTTCTTATCTTTCTCTCAAACAAAACTTGAAATCTACCCCAACAGTTCTTAGTTCAATACCTACACCAGTGATTTGCACGACCTCTTCTGCAAAGCATAACAAAGAGATAATGTTACAAAATAATACATTTCAACATCAAGTCAATGAGAATAATGTGCCCTCACAAGCCTTTCCATTCAGGGAGGAACTTAACAGTAGTATGATTACTGATGTTACAATCAATCGATCTGAATCTTTGGGAAAAGAGGACAGAGCTTTAAGGAGATCTTTACAGGATAAAGTTAAACACCATGACATTTTCTTAAAGCTCCAACCTCGACCTAAAGTAACAAAACTTACAAATCCATTTTCTGATGGGTTTCATTTTGCCCAAGAATCAGAGTCAAGATGGACTGGAAAATCCAGTAGTGGAAGAATTTACAAGAATCCTCCTGTAAAATGTTCTCCTCGGGCTTACCAGAAAATAGCAACAGTTATTAGGTCTCCTATTGTTAATTCCTCTATTCCTTCATCTACACTCACCTCTAAAGATTTATCCAAAAGGTAAATTCAAAGCATTTTTTTACATTTAATGATAACTTGAAAACTGTGGACTAGGAAGACAAGATAAAAGCATTACCTATTTAATTTCTTTAAAGGGACCATTCACTTATTTGGATAATTTCAGGGTAAACTAAACAGCCTATTCAAAGTTGAATGGTATTAGTCTTACTTTTCAAAGACAACTGTGGCCAGGAAAAAAGCCAATTTTTCGTTCTGAATTTGAGTGCAAAGTTATGGTACCTTTCTCAGAAATAGTATATTAGACGTTTTTCAGCAACAGTAGTTCAATAAAATTAAATTTTATCATATTTTAATGTCATTATGTGTTAGTTATTATATACTAAAATATGAAAACTTTTGATATTTGAGTTAGCAAGAAATTATTAAATGGTCCCTTTAAACAAAGCAAATATATTTACTAGCATGTAATTATATTATTCATCAGTATTAAAATGGGTCATTTTACGCAACACAATTGGTGTGTTTCATGTTCATCGGACTAAAGTCAAAACTTGGGTGTAAAAGCTGTTTTCCTATTCCAGAATTTTCTGGTTCTGATTGTAGTTACTTTATGAAATTGATTTTTATTGCTTCAGATAAATTTGCTAGTATTGAAAAAATATGTTTTTATTTATACAACTATTGTTGTGTGCAAGATAAACCCCTATTTCAGTTCAAAAGCTTTGGTTGGAAGAAGATGCCAGAGTTGGAGAGGTGAATCAAGCTCTGATGAAGAAATGACGAAAGCTTACTCAGCAAAAACACAAACGGTAGATTTGAGACATACCGTCAAAATGGCGGAAGCTATTGATAATCAAAGGCTCCCAGAGTCCTCTTACAGTTGCGGCTGTACAGGACTAACCAACTCAGATTTTTGCAACACTTCTTCTCAGATTAACAAATCAACTGATTGTCAAAATATTGACACTTTATTCAATCCAGTTGTAAATACTAATTTTGCAAGAGATATTGACAACCAGCCTTCCAAAGAATCTAACCTTTCACCAGAGGTTATTCATAGTACAGTTATCATGAATCCTTCACATATTCCAAATTCAGCAGCAGAAGCCCTTGGAAATAATAAGTCCAAAAAAAACTATAGATCAGTTTATGGGAGGAAAAAAGAGGAATGTACGGGAGGGTCTTACGAAGAATTTATGAAGATTAACACCTCATTAGACGACCTCAAGCCAGAGGTATTTCCAAACAATATGTGCTAATTGTAAAATGTTGTTTTTGCCATAATAATTTTAATTTGAAATCATGAAATTAAACAGGAAACCTGTATTAAACTATTAAAGGTCCTGTAAGTCTAATTTCAAGTCAACCTCCATGCAAAGAGGCCAGTTTCTGATTTTTAGCAGTGCCCTTGTCTGATCAAGCATAAATTAGAAATGCATGACTTTGTTTATTTGACCTGTTTTTTTAAATTGTGGTTTCTCTGCAAAAGCGATTTGCTCATCTTTTGCTTTTACAAAATGATGGAGAAATTCACAAAAGTTAACACTTCTCAAGTCAAAAATTTGTCATCTTCTACATTTTTATAGGACAAAAGTTATAAGGGTAACCTTATAAATTGACCATTTCTATTTTTGCATAATATACGTCACTTATAAATATGCTTACAGTTCCTTTGTAAAAGGTAGAGAATTCTGTCCTGGATAAAGTTATTCAAAAATATATGTTGTATCATCATAAGAAGTTTAGAAGGAATCAATTCTCAGACAAGAATGCAAATTCAGGTACCATTTGAAAATCTCATTATGTGGAGATTTATATATCTTGTTTTCTAGTGATGGGGAACAATCCTGTTCAAACTCACCTGAATCTTGAACTTCAGGTATTAATTGTTATTATTATTGTATCCTCTTGGGCATACGTCTCCTGATTTGGGAACTTTAGATTTGGATATCCTGAGCTGAAAACTTTAAAATGAGATATCCTTAATCTCGATCTGTTAATTAATTGGAGATAAATATCATGAGGAAAACAAGCCATACTTAATCTGGATATTAAGAGAAAGAGTGGATCAAGCATTAATCCCGACATCCCCCATTCTAAAGTTCCTAGCTCTGAATCCCGAGCGATAAACTATGGATTGGGATATCATTTATCCCGATGGGTTAATAAATCGGGAGATTTATAAGAAGAGAGAAGAAGATTTTTTAATCTGGAGATTAGGAAATAGAGTGGATCAAACAATAATCCCAATATCCACCATTGTAAGGTTCCCAGCTCTGAGTCCCAAGCTGAAAACTTTAGAATGTGATATCCTTAATCCTGATGGGTTAATTAATCTGGAGATCAATAACAAGAGATAAGAAGTATTATTTAATCTGAAGACTAATAAAAAGAGTGCATCAAGCATTTTTCCCGATATCCCCCATTCAAAAGTTCCCAGCTCCGATCACACCCCCCCCCCAGCAGGAATAGGGTTAATCTGAATATCCAATATGGACACTTTTAACTTCTTACTCTTTTTCTCCCTTTTTCACATCCCTGCAAGATTTCGACCAATAAGAGTTCTCTCATAAAATTGCGCTCTAAATTAAAATTTTTTTCTGATTTTGATTGGCTGTTTGGGATTCTGCCTACGCCACTCAATTGGTTGAATTTTACACACTTTTCAGGATACAAACTAAAGATAAAGTTAATCTTGAGATTAATATGGATAGGAGATCAAGCATTGATTGCATCCACAGTTCTATAGTTTTCAGCTCTAATGGCACAATTTATCAAAGCAATCTTGGGCAGGTCTTAACTCTGTAATGATCAGTTTGGGACCCAAATTGTATTTTGTGTTTTTTAGGGTCCAGGATCTTTACAAAGAAGTGTTCTTATGATGAAAATTCAAGATCAAGATCTGTCTAAAGGTATACATTTTTAAATAGATTGAACCCTCTTTTATTTTGACAATTATTGACAACAATTATAAAGATATCTAGCTTACCAAACTTTCAAGGTCCCATCAGACCATGCATGGAAGTTCCGATTTTACAAGAACTTTTAAATACAAGAAGGAATAATTCATAAGTTGAAGAATTCGAAGTTTACATAATAACTGAAATGATAAATATGTTATATATATATTTGTGCAATATTTTGCATTTTTTTCTTTCTTTTATAAAACTATATACATACATATTCAAAATGTCTTAAAAAATTAAACTACACCATTTATATATGTATGTACATTTTAGTGTGTGAATAAATCTTTATAATTTAATAAATTAGTTTGCACCTCAGACAGTACTCTGGAAAACAGTGATTTTCAAGATCAGCATGAAGGAAATTTAACAAAGCAAAATTACAATTTGATTTTTGTAAATTAATAACATTGTAATCAGGGTTGTTAATCATTTTTAAAAACGATCAAAACACTATCCTTTTTTGCTTTGCTTTTCGTTATAACGAAGAAATCACTCGTTTTTATGTTTTTAAGAAATGAAAAACAAAACTACGATACAATCGTTTTTCCTAAAACGAAATTGAGTTTAATGACAAATAATTTAAATTTTTTTCAGGAAGATAAGTTATTAAATGTTGTCTTAATTTTTAATCAAAATAAATTACCTCACTGTTTTCTGAACTAAGGTTTTTTTATATAAGGCTTTTCAGACTAAAAAAATATATTTTGTATGATAAAATTTTAAACAAAGAACTAAAAGTTTTACTTACTAATTTTTTTATTTTAAAAATGATACTTTTAAACATGACTGTTTTAATTTTCGTTTTTTCTTCCTTGTGAACAAAACGAAATTATTTGTTTTCCAAAAAATAGAAAAACAATTCCTTTTTGTAATTAACATTGTCACTGGTTAAATTGAAATTAAAAGACTCAGATATTTTGGAATTTGTTTTGAGCATTGGGGTTCCAACCCTACTAGACCTATATACTGCAGAGGAATTCAAATTCTTAGGTATGTAATTTTTGTTAATCTTGAAAAATTTAAACTTTATGCAAAACGTTGCTATTTAATTTTATCTGGAATTTGATTCTCACTAATAGCACAATTTCTAAATTAGCTAAACTCCTTATTGTTCTTCCATATTTACTGTTCAAAGCAAACTAGATAGTTTATTGACGTAAAACAAATAGCACCATTTAACAAAACAGTGTATTATTTCAATTGAGGTTCAACCCTCTTATTCCTTTTCTCCTTCATTCATATTTACACACAACTTTTACTAAAATGCATAATTTTAGAATATCAAACTCAATGTTTCTGGAAAAGTTGGTCAAGGTTCAACCTGGGCTCTCAGGTTATGAGTGTATATAAAAAGTGGTGTTGCTCTGAAGGAGATCTTTCTCCATGGATGATGATTTTGTTTCATAAGCAATTAAGAGAAAGACATGTGGGTAAGTAATTCCTCTGTTGTTAATTCTTTTATTTTGATATTTTCATCCAATTAAATCTTTTTCAGCTTTCATGGTTGAAATTGATGATGAGTCTAGATTAACTGAAAATGATTGTATCACACTTCTCAGGTATACAATCTTTATCTTTGCATATCTTTAAGTATATACTTGTCTGTCTGTCTGTATGTTTGTGTCTAATAAACGTAGAAACGGATGTGCGGAAGGAGCCCAAAATTTTACATGCAACTCACGGAAGGTTTATGGCTGGTGGAAATTGAAAAATTTTGCCCAAAAAATGTTGACATTAATTTTTTTAAAAAGTTTACCAAATTTTGAGAACAATAACAACTTTCAAATTCAAAGCTGGAATTGTTTATAAAAAAACACAAAACGACCCTAAAGCCTAGAAAATTTAAAATTAAGTTTATTTTTCAGAGGAAATGTGAAGTCAGCTGGATACCTTTTTACAGCTTGGAATTACCTACAAAATGCAGAGGACCAAATGGTCTATGCCATGGGTAAAAAGAAATAACTTCTAAGGGAGTGTTCGCAAAAAATTTGTTTGAAATTAAATTGATTTGTTTTACAATCCGAGTAGAATATTGGAAATTTCTGAATTTGTATGGACTCTTCATTCTTCAGTATAAGTCTTTTTTAACAATTTTCTCCTTATATATGCAACAGATATAAGTAAAATTATTAGTGATCAAAAGCGATTATTTTTTGCAGTAAGCCTGACCCCTTTTTATTTTTTGCAAACACTCCCTTTAAGTATGCATGACAGAGCTAGGGTTTCCAGCAAAATGGAAAAAAATTAGCTTCGCTAAAAATTAGCATTTTTTGCATTTCTTTTGTATACATTAAATCAATCTATTTTTCGCCAAATTTGGTTCAGTCCTCAGAAAGGTTACTATAAAAGGAAAATAGAAGAATGTTGTGCAACTTATCGGTTGTACTTCTGATGCATGTGTATTATCTCTATTTAACCCTATCTTTGCTGGGGTACTTGAAAACCACCTAGCAGGAATAGGGTTAAGTATTTGTTCCGCACTAGGCACTTAGTTTAGAATTTTAATGCAGTTTTGTTTCATAAAATGTAAGGTAATGCATCTATGCATAATCATGATTTTGAAATGATATATTTGTTTACATACCCTTAATTGAAGGAAAAGATGATTACAGCTTTGTGCTAAATGTTCCGAAGCCACCATTAAAACGAATGTTTCAAGGTAATTCAAACAAATTATTCATTTTCATTTATCCTGAGCTGAGTCCTGATCGCTTGATCTAGTTATTCACATTGGGCACTTTTGAAGGTTACAGAAAATCTCTTTGATCTCTTGATTTTCTCTGTTTCCTCATTGGTTAAATGTAAAATTTCTTGGCTTCTGATTGGCTGTTCGTTTGCTGAACTTCAGATGATATAGAATAAAGATTATCAAATAATTGAGATCAACGTTTGATCTCGATATCCACGATTTAATAATTCCCAGCTCTATATTTTCTAGACATACCTAAATCACAATGTATTATTGATAACTTTACCTTTCTAAAAAAGATCATTGTTTGAATGGGTGTCCTTAGAAATTGGTTTAGAGGAGGGAAAGAGTACTCTCCTATTTGAGATTCTGGAAGGAAACACAAACAAACCATTCCTAACTGATCGAAAGGTAATTGTTGTCCTTCTTTTTAACACTTTATTCCTAAAGTAATTCAAAAAAGTTATCAAAATCTGACAACTGAAAGTGGGTCAAAACAAAGATTTAGTTTGTTTCAGGAAAAAAGTAGTCATTCAGGCAGTGTGCCGAGAACTCAGGCATTTAGTTTAAAAACCGTCTGCTTCTATAGACATTCTAATAAGAATACACGTTGATAATTAATCTAGAAAAAACTAAGGATATTAATCCTATTCCTGCGGAGAGGGGGGTCAAGTTGAACCCCCCCCCCCTGTAGTTTTTTTTACATAACTCAAAAAGTATTGGTCTGAGGCTGTTGACATTTTCTGACTTTTCCTAAATACCCAAAGCCCTCCCTTTAGGCCTAAAACTGGCTTTATACTAAATGCCTGAGTCCTTAGGCACACTGCCTGAATTACTATTTTTTTCCCATAACAAACAAAATCTATGTTTTGACCCACTTTTAGTTGTCAGATTTTGATAACTCTTAGCTTTTAGGAAATCCTATGACAAGTTTTACAAAGAAATTTTTGCAAATTATGTGCATATGTCGTTTTAGACATTTAATATTTTTTAATCTAGAAGACATATTTGTGTAATTTGTATAATCAAATAATGTCTGATTTTATAATGATTTAAATCTGAATTTTTAAGTTAAAATTTCCAACTACAAAAGTGTTTTATCCTTTTTACTTTTATATTAAAAGTTTAACTTTTATTCTTTACGCTAATATCTCTCAGAATAGTTTCTAAACATTTGATTTTCAAAAACTTAACATTCTTTTATAGAGTCGAGTGTATGGCAATCAGGGAGTAAGGAATAGAAGGGAGTTCGCCCTACCATATNAGGGAACATACTGTATTAATGTACTCTACTGCATATAATTTGTGAACATTTACATGATTTGTACACTTTTAACTCCCTTTCAGGCTGAAAGGGACTACAAAAATTCATACCGAGAGATTCTTTAAATTCCCCTCTAACATATATTCAATTCTCTATGGCAAGAGCCTAGCTTAAAGTTGGTTTTAAGTTTTCCAGACGTCAAAGTTTTAAACGTTGGATGGCAATTTACAGTGTAAATGATTAAAGTATGAAAAGGTTGTACTATTCATTGCCAATCAAAGATAAATGTCCAGAGCTGGGAACTTTAGAATGGATAAACTTTAATCCTGACTTCTTGATCCGAATATCCAATGTGGAAACTTTTCATTTTTGTCCTAATCCCCTCTTTTTCTCTCTCCTTGGATATCCGTTAATTGTTTTCTCCAATGAGAATATTTCTGTTCTCTCATTGGTTGCCCACTTTTATCTGTTTGGCTGCTACAGTTTCTCAGATGATTAAATATTAATTTGCATTTTATCGTTTTTCATACACTTTTAATGATTTCAAAGATTTATCTGTATTTATGAATTTTATTAATATACTTCTGAAAGTGTCACATACATGCCCAAACTGTTAGAGGAAAGAACCTGTCAAATCTTTCCCTGTATGATAATTGAAGGACTGCAGTATGGATTTGGTGAATCATATTGACGTACTAAGCTTAGGGGTGTCAGAAATGATTTTTTTTGCATTTTTTGAAAACGTCCCATAAACCTAAAAAAGTTTAATTTTGATAAAAAATTTTGTTCTGGATGAATGCAAATATCTATTAAAACTTTCTTAAACCGGCATATGTTTTCTATTTTCATTTAGTTCAGAGTTAGAGTTAAAATAAGTATTAAAAAATATTGCTTTATATCGAGTAGATATCCTTAAACATATCGATGTGAAACCTTTCAGAGAGTAGGACAGATTCTACAGAAAAAAGTTGCCAAATCAAACAGAATTTTTATTTTGAACAAAAATATTTAGAACTTATACAGAAGCTTTTCTGGGTTGCACTTTACTCTAGTTTTGCATAATTTTCATTTGTGTAAAACAGTATAAAAGAGATTATGTTTATATGATGATTCATTGGAGGGAGGAATGGCAAAAACACCAATTTGTAATTCCCAAATCTGTTTATGGAAAGTGATGGAAACAGGGTATACAGAGTGCTTCAGGGTACAGGGTACTACAATGTACTGCAAAGTACTGTGCTTTACTGGGGTATACCGGGGGGAGGGGGTAATAGAAACCAAACAGAATTTTTTATTTTAAATAAAATATATATGTAGAGTCAGAAGCACTTTTAAGCATATTTTCTTTATATATATATATAGTTTTTAATACTAATCAGCTGATCACTTAATGGAGGGAGGTAGGGCAACAACGCCCATTTGTAATCCCCTTCAATTATCATACAGGGAAATTTTCATCTTTCTAAACATCCCAGGGAAAGATTTGACAGGTTCTTTGCTTATTTTTATTTTTTTTTAATTAAACATCAAGTTATTTAAAATTTTGCAAAAAATTTTGCATATTTGAAATGGAATGATCACGAGGGCTTTTCTTAAATGTATTTTTTATTAATTTTTGAACCATTTTTTGCAAACATTTTTATTATATAACTAGATTTTGCATTTTTTTTGCAGATTCTAAAAGTAGAGCACAATTTGAGTGGGGAGGGGTCAGTGAATCCTGGTTTTCAAGTACCCCAGCAGGGATAGGGTTAAGAAATGTCAATATACTCAATAACTATTTGTTTTATAATCATAATCAAAATAATTTATACTAACTTTAGACCAAATTGTTTAGTTTATACTAGATCATAAAGATTATACTTCTAAAGGAACCTGGCTGGAACAGATATCAAATGAAACTTTTACTTAAAGAAATACTATATGCAGATGAAAATAATCTCTACATAAACATAATATGTTATGTACCATGTGCATTGTACATGTTTCACAAATACTTGGGAAGAATCCCTGGAATAGGCAGGTATTATATTGTGAGAACCCACCTAGTCTATAGAAACTAGAATTGCAATACAGGATGCTAGAAAAATGCTAAGATCTCACCTGCATATGAACAGTCCAAACAGAAAAATGCTTAAAATTGCAAAAATGTGCTAGATTCTTGAAACATATTGATTATTTTTATTTATATAGAATAGATTCTACTAAGAGTTGTACATATACACAAACATTTGAATTGCACATTTTAAAGAATTACTATCCTTNCCCTTATCTTTTTTTGCAAGACCTCAAATTTTCTGGCCTTTCTAACTATCACATGATTCTCACTTTTTCAGTGGAGAGAGGCGTCGTTATTAAGAACAAACAAAATTTTGATAACGAACAAAATCTTGATAACGAAAAAAATCTTGATAACAAACTAAATTTTGCATGAGAAATGCATTCATTCAGGAAAAAGAAAAGTTGGACGAATGATTTGTATCATTCAGAGAAATGAAAAAACTATAGTTTTTTTTACTGAACAAATGATTTTCTGGAACAATTTCTTGAATTCGACTTTATTGAACAAAAGATTTTAGTGAACAAACAATTTTACTGAACAATCAGTGGAAAAAAACACGAAAAAGATTGAAATGAGCAATATTTTTTGAACGTACATTTTTCATTTTTTGGAATGATCGAAACAAGAAAATTACAAAGATATGTAATTAATAAAGTAGCAAAGCCTATAGTTATACCTTTTTAAATCATGTGATACATTGTCTGTAAATCAAAATGCGCTTGTAAATAATTACGCAGAATTTATTCTATGATTAACCTAACCTAAATATGTCTGTAAATAAATACGTTATTCAGTAATTCCTGATTGAGTTGTACCTGGATTGATACAGGTCTAAAATCAGTTTTAGGAGTAGAGCATTTGCTACAGGGGTTTCATTTAACAGCATTCAATACAAATTTCGCCTCAGGATTATACAATGATAGTTGAATATGTTTCTAGATGTATTTTCTGATGACAGCGTTGGTTCTGTATAATCCTGAAACTCCTGGATTACAGGATAAGAAGATGGTTGAAACTATTCAATCTGAATACTCATCTTTACTAAGGTAAAATAGGATGGCGCTTACGGTCTCAACCCCCCCCCCCCCTAAATAGTTTTAAACTTTAAAACTAAGACCAAAAATTTCTTTTTAAAATTTGAATTGCTTGCCCATGTCGTAGCGTATAGAAACAGCTTACACATCATCCAAACTACACAAACACCAGGCTCGAATATATTATGAAGACGACATTCTATAAGTCCATTGAAGCCAAGAGGATACATATTTGTACAATTAAGATCCCTTGCAATACAAATTTGTGTCATTTTATAACGTAAATGTTTACAAAATTCTGTTTTGTTCACTATTGCCATCAGTATAGTTGTACTATGTACATTTAACATGCAATTAGTTTCTTGTTATTCTTTGTGATTATATAGTGGGCTTTTAGGGTGCTTCGCGCCCATCTTCTATTTCAATTGTGAACATGTTCATCGTAAATCAAAACAAAAAAAGTTCGCAGAATTCAACAAAAAATTTCATGGATTTTTAAAATTTTCAAGAATTCAATAAAAAATCTAATTTTGATGGAGGCAAATTTTTAAATTTTGTTCATTCATATAAACCTTCCTCAGGTCAACGTGAGGTCCCACACAAAACTTTGGCCCGATCAGTTCAGCCGTTTACACGTTTTTTATTCATTAAAATCTATAAAATCTATAATTTATGTAATGTTTCCATGATGATTGGTAAGGAAATTGTGATATTAAAAATCTTCAGTACAACAAAAACGACTCAATATGTGTGTTTGGCTTTTTTTGTTTTCATATTATATAATCTATATTTAAATTTGGCTTGTCTGGGTGTCTGTTTGTTTGTATCCAATAAAAACGTCAAAATGGCTTAACCGATCGGGCTCAAATTTTGTGTAGGACATCTAGGGTTTCCACGAAATGGCTAAATCTTTTGCGCAAAATTTGAGCTATTTTTGCACAAATTTTTCGTTGCGAACTTTTGCGCTATTTTTGCGCATGAAACGCAATGAGTTTTGCGCGGTTTTGCATAAATTTTTGCGCAATTTGCACAAAACCGGAAATATTTTTTGGGAAAGTTGCGCATGAAACGAAATTTTAGTTTTTCGCAATTTTCTTTGCGCAATTTGCGCAAAACCGCAAGTTTTATGCAAAATGTAACTTTTTAGGCAAATTGTCAAAAATTGATATTCTAAGCTTAGAATTAAACAACTGAAGATTTATTCCATATACAAAAAAATATTAACATACGAGTATGATAACGATTATACTACACTCAATTGGTTACTTCCAGTTACAAAAAGTTTAAATTAAAGGACCAAAATTAATAAAATAGAAATTAGAGAGTGTAAAACTTGGCAATATTTTAATCCTATTAAATAATTTCAAGTGACCCTTAAAAGCTTTGCCTAATCAAGTATGAATTATATTCTTAAATTTTTTTAATCAAATTTCTGAAATCTTTTTATCTCATATAAAATAATGCAAAAAAGTAACCAATGCCTGAAGAATCCACTTTTGGGAAATATGCATGTCCAAAACTAAAATTGTCGAGAAAATTGTGAGATTTGAACTCTTCTTAACTGTCATTGGTCAATTATGTAAAAGTGACCAATAGGAAGACATTCCAGAACAAGATTTTTCCAGAATTGAATTCTAAAAAACACACACTGTCACCAACCGTTTGATTTTTACGAAATTGCGGAATTGCGCAAAATTCTAGTTGCGGAATTGCGCAAAACTTGAGTTTCGCAAAAGCAGAATAGGGCAATTTTGCGCGAAATCATTTTTGCGAATGATTGCACAGATTGTTGTTTTTTTCGCGCAAAACTGATGCACAAATAAAGAAAAATTTTGCGTTTCGTTCCGCAAAAATTGCGCAAAATTTTTGCGAATGGAAACCCTAAGGACATCACATGACCCCAGGGAAGGTTTATGAATGATCAAAATTTAAAAAATTTGTGTTAAAAAGTTTTTTTATTTTGTAACATTTAAAATGTCTGGGTGTGTGTTGGTTTGTATCCAATAAACGTGGAAACAGCTAAACCGAGCGGGCCCAAGTTTTGTGTGGGACCTCAGGTGGCCCTGGAGAGGGTTAATGAATGAACAAAATTAAAATAATTTGCCTCCATTAAAATTCGATTTTTATTAAATATTTGAAAATTTTGAAAGAAAATTTTTTATAAGATCCACGAAATTTTTTTCTTTGTTTTAACATGTACTCAAAGAAACTATGTTCGCAATTTAAATAGAAGATGAGCGCAAAGCGCCATAAAAGCCTGGTATGTATAATATAAGAAATATTTAGTTCAAAAATTTAAATTGTTATTACCTTTTAACTTTAACTAATATTTTTTCTAAATCAAATATTTTTGCTTGTTAAAAGTGGCTCATATTAAAATCATATTAAAATTGGTTTCCCCACCTCGCAAATTTTAACTGTAATGCTTTCCCCACATCTGACATATATTAGTCACTTGAAATTACACCTACACAGTCCATTTAAGTTTCTTGATTATTTAATTTATAAACATTTTCTTATTGTTTAGGCGGCATCTCTCCCAGTTTTCTGAACAGTCTCTTGAGCAGTCCATGAGGGATGTGCATGCATGTATTCGTGGATTACCTATAATACAACAATGTATGGAATCTGTTCAGAAGAGGTCGTCTTGAGTGGGGAATCTGCCCCAACCGGCCAATTTTAGAATTGATAGGCCGTAGAGTAATAAAGATACAGACAGAACACTAGATGTCGTCTTTTCAAGATATATGGGGTTTTGTTCAAAACAACCAAAGGCAGAAGCACAAAGGAGCATGCTCTTACTCTGCCTAATAATTGAACGCGGCATACGGTTAACTCCTTTGGGTGCTGCCTCATGGTTATTGTGAAAAACTCCTAATTATTGAAACGACAAAATCTGGTATTCTATCTGTTTTGTTATTAATCTATGTGATAGGCAACTATGATTTTTTCATATAGAGCTTTTTGGCACCAAACAAATTGTGTTAACTTGTGCATATTCCAACATTTTAAATTTATATTCTATAAAACTTTGTGTTTATTAACCTATGTTAATCATACAAGAAAAACTGAACGTAAAAGTTAAGCGAAGGCAAATGTATGTTCAGCACACAACTTTGTAATTTGTAAATTTTAACCCTATTCCCGCTGGGGGGGGGGGGTCAATTTGCCCCCCCCCCCTGTAGTTTTTTTTACATAACTCAAAAAGTATTGGTCTGAGGCTGTTGACATTTTCTGACTTTTCCTAAATACCCAAAGCCCTCCCTTTAGGCCTAAAACTGGCTTTATACTAAATGCCTGAGTCCTTAGGCACACTGCCTGAATTACTATTTTTTTCCCATAACAAACAAAATCTATGTTTTGACCCACTTTTAGTTGTCAGATTTTGATAACTCTTAGCTTTTAGGAAATCCTATGACAAGTTTTACAAAGAAATTTTTGCAAATTATGTGCATATGTCGTTTTAGACATTTAATATTTTTTAATCTAGAAGACATATTTGTGTAATTTGTATAATCAAATAATGTCTGATTTTATAATGATTTAAATCTGAATTTTTAAGTTAAAATTTCCAACTACAAAAGTGTTTTATCCTTTTTACTTTTATATTAAAAGTTTAACTTTTATTCTTTACGCTAATATCTCTCAGAATAGTTTCTAAACATTTGATTTTCAAAAACTTAACATTCTTTTATAGAGTCGAGTGTATGGCAATCAGGGAGTAAGGAATAGAAGGGAGTTCGCCCTACCATATGATTATACATGCTTTGCAGACGGGCACTCCATTTGTATATGAAATATTCAGAAAAGGTTATTGTATACGCGGTAATTGTACATCAGACAAATATTTCTTATTAGATGGAGTACCTGTCTGCAAAGCATGTATAATCATTTGGTTGGGAGAACCGTGTCAGTTATATCTCCCTTCTATTCCTTACTCTCTGATGGCAATACATAATATATTACTTATATAAGTTTTTGTTTTGGGACTACCTTTTAAATGCTATTCGTTCTAAATTATCCTGTGCAAACTTTGCAATATTAAAAATAACACACAGTGTTCCAGAAAAAGTATTATATTATCATATCAAATCAAATCATTTATTTCAGCGGAAACAAGTTAACAATCTAATATTCTAGTAAAATATATAACGTGTACAAAGAGAAAAAAATCCGTTCTGCAGAATGCGGACTCAATAAGCTAGGGCTGTTTTAGCAAAACGAAATTTTTAAATTAATCAAAAAACGAAAAAAACATATTTTAAAAATTTGAGGAGAAATTCACATACCACAAAGGGTTACAGTTTGCTCACAAATATATATGATACAGGGTGTCCCAATAAACATGGGAATTTAGTGACGAATTCGATAACGTCTTTTTAAATAATTCTTTGATTTAGTATAGTCATACCTACTGAGAAAGCTGAAATCTGTAAGAGTTTCGTCTGCTATGTTCACATTTTGTTTGTTCATGTTTTGACTGCATAAGGGTGTACTTAGTAAAACAAGAAAATTGCAGTATACAAACAGAGTAAACTTGTCCGTCTTCACTGTTCATCTTGCGGTGACATTATAGACACATCTTTGCAGTCTTTTACCCTTTTCATAAAATAAACTCTAGCAGACATGATAGCTGTTATGGCTTTTGAAATTAGGTATTACAATGCTAATTCATAACAAAGACGATATTCAATTCGTCACTGAATTCCTATGTTTTTTGGGACACCCTGTACAATACAAATATAACAATTAGCCTCGCTGTAAATGGTTTCATTGGTTAGAAAAGGGTTGTACTTCAAATTCTGTTATCCTATTGGTGATAGAAGAGCAAGAGCCATAGAGAATAGAATATATATTAGAGGGGAATTT